TGTTATTCATTTTTTATAAATTTAAATATGTAATGTATATTTTTTTTTATTAATAATTTTACAATAAAAATTTATATTTTATTTTTGTCAATATTATACAAACATTTAAGGCAGTAACTAGTTATGTCTTTTAAGCTTGTGATTCATTTCTATTATTTCAATACAGCAATTTTTTTGAAAGTTTTGTTTTGTTTTAAAATTCAAACTTATTATATTTTTTAAATTGTCTGTAAGTACACATAAAATAAACATTTTTAAAACCAAAAAACTAAAATTAATGTAATTTATAAGGAATTAAATGTTCATATAAATATTGTATTTGTACAATAACGTTCTTTAAGAAATAAGCAAGACTTAAATTTAAAAATAATTTCATTTAACATTCAGGATTAAAATTGAATGAATTTTTTTTTTTTACATATGATAAAAAAAAATTTATTTAATTTAAAATATTCTAAAAATATATTTAAATATTATTGTTCTATTTCTATATATTAATCATCAGAAAATTTGATTTTTTTTCCTTCGAATGGCTTTATTAATTGTACTCTTTTAGCAGCCCAAGAAGGATGCAAATTTTCTGATTCTGTGTTTTTTTTTTCTAATTTCACTGTATTTTTTACATTTTTTTGTATTTTATGAAATGATTTGTTCTTTGGTTTACAATTAGGTAATGTATGTCTTTCTGATTCATTTCTTTGTTTTGACTCATTATTTTCTGTTAATAATTTAGGCACAAACACTTTTTTCTGAATAAAAAAATTGTCATCTATCTTTTCATCACTCTTATTTATAACATCATTACTATTATTGTCTTTTTCTGCATTTTTAAATTTCTTTTCAAATTTTTTTTTCCAATTTCCTTGGTAATTATTTTTTGTGTTATTAGAACTATTTTTATTGTCTCGTTTTGTACTTTTCGAATTAGGAACTCTAACATTTTTATCAGTAACTTTAGTTTTACTTACAGAATTAAATAAACGTTTACTATTTTTTTTGCTGTTATTTTTAGTAAAACAAGAACTTAATAATTTTGGTAACTCATTTTTCCAATCAGGAATTTGATTTCTAATTCTAATAACTTCATCAGTGATAGCCTTGTGCTTGGCAAGTGTGGCTAATGCAGTCAGCTCAAAATTATTTGGTTCCTTTTTTAGAAAAACATCATAATTTTCATTTTCTAAAGCAAACTTAGTGACTTGATCATTTTTTAATTTCTGCAATCAAATAAATTGAATTAAATAATGACACATGAGTAGTTTTTTGCAAAAATATTACTGACATTTTATATAAAAAAATTTTACATAAAGAATTTTAACTCACCAAAGTAATAATTAAATTAAATTAACACATATAACTAATAATATTAAAATATTTCAGGTGAACTCACCTTTATTGCATGAATTCTTTTTAATAATCTCTCTGCTTTACCTAACTTTTTGTCCTTAAGAGAATCATTTTTACAAGATGATAAAATTTTAAGTTTTTTAATTGCTTTTCTTACAACTATTACTTTAGCCTTCTTAACAGCTGTTCTGCATGAAATTATCTAATAAAAAATTTAACAAATGTTAATAAACATTTGGAAAATAAGCATTCATAATTGAATAAAAAAAAACATGAGTGAGACACCTTACCTCACTTTTCAATTTTTTTTTATCCATCATTAACAACGTTTTAATAAACTTTAAAAAAGCAAAATCATTAATTAAAAATAAATTTTATGTATAATTCTAGTGAAAAATATTAATAAAAAGTATAAAAAGTTAAATGAAAAATCTATCAAGCATGTTAATGAATGGTACACATAAGCCTCCGCGATATATATATATTTCTTTTTCGTGTCACAGCAGAAGAAAAAAAAAAACTTTAAAAACGGACAAAATCGCGCTCAAAAAGAGAATTTTTTTTTTTTTTTTTTTTTT